GCGCACACACACACACACACACACTGACAGCCTTTCGACAATATGCGTTTTTGCTGGCTGTAGCAGCGCTATAGCGCTGCACAGCAAAAACGCATAAAAATGAACGCTAAACGGAAATTGTCTATTTCCGTTTATGTAAAATTTACAATGATTTACGGTATTGAGCGCACAGGGTAGATATGAAGGAACAACCGTTTATGCAGTTAACTCAATTCAAGTTTGGTGCAAAAACGCATGATCGCACCGGCTCGCCTGGTGCGTTCCAGCCTGGGTTTGATGAACAACCGCTCCAGAAAAACCAGGAAGTGAAAATTTAGTGGAGTGTTCCCCACCCACGTTTGACCCCGCAAATTTAGACTCAGCCTCCCCGTACCAGCGAGTAACACGAACGGCCCTGTAGAAATTTTGGCGGGTAAAATTATTGTCACAGGAACCACGGTAGCTAGAGGGCTGAAATTTTGCGAACATGTCCCCTGTCCACATGTGAACCAGAAAATTTAAATTCAGCCTTCTCTTGCCCGCGAATAACACGAAAGGCCCTGTGAAAGTTTTGGGGGGTAAATTATTATCTCAGGAACCACAAAACCTACGAAGCTGAAATTTTAAGGTGATAACCCCTTGTCCACGTACGACCTTGCAAACTGAAATTCAGCGTTCCCGCACTTTCGGGTATCGCTTACGGCCTCATGAAAATTTTGGCGGTAAATTATTACCTCGGAGACCACGGAATCCAGGAGGCTGAAATTTTAGGGGAATGACCCCCTGCCCACATACGACCTTGCCAATTCAAATGCAGTGTACTCGCGTTCCCGAGTATCAGCTACGCTCCGTGAGAATTTTGGTGAGGAAATTATTACCTTAGGAACCATAAAAGCCAAAAAGCTGCAGTTTTCCGGTAGTGCCGGCACGTGAGGTTTCGTGTGTCGGTGCGTGAAATTTTTAACTATTTTTCAACGTTCCAACTTTTTTTGCACAGACGAAAGTACAAATCAGTGAAAACCATTAACAGGCAATTGTTCGATGGACGAATTGCACAAAACGCATGATCATACTGCTAGTCTGGTGCGCGTTGCTATTTACTCATTTTTTTCGAAAAGCGAGCATTTTCCGATCAGGTTGGAACGCACCAGGCGGGCCGGTGCGATTATGCGTTTTTGCACTTTTCGTGCCGTAGCAAGAACGCAAGGAGACAGTAGTTAACCATGTGACATACTGGTCCTCGAAGTTCGGGAAGTTAATTGTGCAGTTATATGGTATGTCAGTTGTAGATGTCAAATTCATTGACCCGACAAATGGAAAGTTGCTAATCCGCGAAAAAGGTCGCACTAGAAGAGTTAAATTTGAAATCTTTTATTCGCACATGAGTAGGGGAGATTCCCTTAAAATTAAAGCCGTCAGCTTTTCCTGTTCCCGAGTTAGCAGTTTTCCTATCAAAATTTTCACGTATCCGCACGTGAGTACCGGAAGGTTTTGAGAAGCTGAATTTGAAATCTTTTGCCATACATGAGTAGGGAACATTATCCTAAAGTTTCAGCTTTCTGGCTTTTCCTGTTCCCGGGTTAGTGATTTTCGTGCCAAAATTTCCACATGCCTCGGGTGCTTCTAAACACCTGATTTTGCTCGTACATGAGTGGGGAACATTGCCTTAAAGTTTCAGCTTTCCAGCTTTTCCCGTTCCCGGATCAGTAGCTTCCACGCCAAAACTTTCACATGTAGCGTACGTGGGTCTCGGGCGCCTCTAAGCACCTGATTTTGCTTGTACAAGAGTAGAGAACACTCCCATAAGATTTCAGCTTTCTAGACTTTTTCGTTCCCGGGTTAGTGATTTTCGCGCCAAAATTTCCACGCGCTCGTACATGTGCCCGGGCGCTTCTAAACACCTGATTTTGCTCGTGCATGAGTAGGAAACATTGCCATAAAGTTTCAGCTTTCTAGCTTTTCCCGTTCCCGAACTAGTAATTTTCCCGCCAAAATTTTCACGTGCCCATACGTGAGCCCCATGCAGCCCTAAGGAGCTGAGTTTGAAAACTCTTGGTCGTACATGAGTAGGGAACATTACTCCAAAATTTCGACTTTCCGGCTTTTCTCATTCCTGAGTTATGAATTTTCCAGCCATAATTTTCACGTGCCCGTACGTAAGCCCCGGGCAGTCCTGGGCAACTGACTTTGAAATCTTTTTGTCATACACGGGTAGGGAACATTCTCCTAAGGTTTCAGCTCTCTAGCTTTTCTCGTCCCCGAGTTATCAGTTTTCGCGCCAAAACTTTCACGCCCTCATATGCGGGGCTCAAATGTGCGTGAGAGTTGATACCGCGGTCTTGGGGTGGCACTTAGCTGAAAAACATACTCGCAAAATTCCAGCTTCAAAGCTTGCGTGGTTGGCGACGCACACACACACACACACACACACACACACACACACACA